CACGTCTGTATTTACAAACAAAAAGAGAGTCATGTTTTGAAAATACGTACCTCATAGTATGTTTAGTAAGATGAGGGTGGGAAAGAATGTAATTGGACAGATGACTGAAGAAATATACTGATAACTTAATACTGATACTTCAGTTCTTTGAAGGTCTAGAAATGATTGCATGTTTGTTTATTTTTACATTGCAGTGAATGATTTAGGAGTGGACATCAAGGGACTTGGTAAAGGCTCCTTAGCTGCTGATAAGGTTGTTGAAGAAATAAGAAGGAAAGGCGGAAAGGCAGTGGCCAACTATGGTATGGTACTTGAGAGAATTAGGCTATTTTAAAAATGTTTCCTTCAGCTAATGCTATTGCACACATTGAAGATCATTGAGCAAACATCTCTGCATTCCAGTGCAATTGTGAAATTAGATTTTATCTAAGTCAGACAAAGTTATTTGGTACATATTTTCTATCATATGTGAGAATTTTTAACCCTTTTGATGTAAATTATTTCATGTCTACCTTTTATTCTATTGCTTAATTTTTTTTATTAATGAGCACATGACATAATAAATTATTGTAGATATGTATAAGAATATGTTCTTATTCTTAAAAGACCTGTGTAGCTAAAAGGTCTCATGTATTTCTATAGATACCATTAAATTTTTCTTTTGAAATTGTTTAAAAATTTATTGTAAAAACAGTAATATCATGTACAGAGTGAAATGCCCCCTTTCTGTACTCAACCTCTATATTCCATTATTCACAAGTAATCTTGCTATATATAATTTCTTATCTTTATAAATACTTGTGTCAAAGTTAGGCATTAAAATGAAGCCACAAGAAAAACAGCAAATACAACCTTCACTTTTGATGTATTGAGTCTAATAGTATTTGTAAGGAACCTTCTTGAATATAGATTTAGCTAGCACTTACTAATTTCTCTACAAATTTAACTGCTTTTATGAACCAGGGATTAAATTCAATTACCAGTAACTTCATTTGGAAATTTTAGAGGAAAGGAAATGGGATATGATTTATTTTGAATGTTTAAAGAAATAATGGAACAGACATGTCAGTATCTTCTTTCCAGATTAAGGACCTAGAAAACTGTCTTCACCTTTTTTTTTTTTCTTTTTCTTTTTTTTAATTTTGGTGTTTTAAAAACCTATTTTTTTTATAAAGATAAAAATTCCAGACCTTCCCTTACTCCTGCCCTAGTTTTGATATGCAACCTGTGTCAGTCAGGCTTCAGTCAGAAACACAGAAGTCCCTCTAGGCTTTCCAGGTGTGAGGGTTTCAGTACAGAGAAATAGAGGCTCACAGAGCCATTGGAAGGGTTGAGGAAGTGCATGTCAGGGAAACTGTCCATGGCCATCTCAGCCTGCAGCAAGTGGTAGATGTGCTGTCGGTTTTACATCTCCTCATGTGATTGCCTGCATATGCAGGCTTCTACTTTTCGATGCTTTAGGTGATTATCTCTTTTTGACTTGTATCTAACTCAGGACTATACGTGACCTAGGGAAGGGACTCTATTTCCTGGGTCCTCCCCTGTAATTGCAGAGGATATAGAAAGAGGCAGTGGTGACACTGAGTAGACAGCTGACCATTTGACACACAATTTGGGGATATGAGCCCTTCCCCTCAGCTGATTAGCAGAAAACAATGAAACTACTATTTTTGCCAAGCTTCATTTCTTGTGTTTGGTATTACAAAAACAGGTTTCTTTTCCATATGTAGTTATATAGTGTTGAACATTCTTTTTCAATTTAAATATGCACCTTCTTTTCTCCCTTCCTTTTTCCTCCTCCCTCTCCCCCTTTTCTTTCTCTCTCTCTAAAAAAAAAAAAAAAAAAGAATTTAGAAATCATTTTGAGAGATACTAAAGTTTTGTACTAATTTCCCTTTCCTCAGATTCAGTGGAAGCAGGAGAGAAGATTGTGAAGACAGCGTTGGATACTTTTGGAAGGATAGGTGATGTTTCTTTGCTTTCATGGTACTAACAATCCATAGGTTTTAGCAGTTTTATAGGTTAAAGGCAGTCCTGATGCCTGACTGCATTTAAACAAAATAGTAGAGTTAGCTATCCCTTCCTGCCTCAAATCATGGTGCTCTTTTTCTTACTAATAAATGTAGTTTGTGGCATTTACTTTTTTCAGAAAAGAGCACTTTTATTTGTATTAAAAACCCGTTCAGGCAGATATCCTTTCTTTTCAGCAATTTTCTTAACTTGTGTCTGGAAATTTGTCTGCTGCCTGTTGACCAGCAGAAGCTGCTTCCCATATTATCTGACATTTTTAAGCCAAACCTCTTTCTAAAATTTTCAGACCACCCTTTGCCTTTAAATTCTTGACCTTTATTTGGGTCCTCCATCATCCTTTTGCTTTAAGTTGTCATATAATGAGTTTGCTTTTTCTCAGGTCCCATTAGTGTGTGTAGCCATGCCTTTCTCACAGCAATCCTGCACCCCATAAAAGCTGCATTTCAATACTAGATAAGAAGATATTTCACAAAAAAGCACAAAGTTTTCATGACTGCCGATGTAGCTACAGTGATGGCTTCATGAATATTTTTGTTTTGTTTACAATGGTCTTTATGCTGGATTCATTTATCTAGAAATGCAGGCAACCACAGTTAGAACTCTCAATCTATGATACATGTTAAGTAATTCGACTTTTTAATTTTTTTTTAATTTAAGACAAGGAATAGTTTTTTCAAACCCATCAGAGAAATGGACAGGTTGGGACTGCAACAAAGCTTTGTGTTCGAAAGCCTAGGCCAGTTATTGTATGTGAGAGTATGCACCGCTACATCCAACAACGGAACAGACCATACCTTTTCAAAGTTTAAAATTCTAGAATGAAACATTATTGCAAGCTAGCCCAATATGTTTAAAGTCTGGAAAAAAATATATATATATTTATATGTTGTAATTTGAATGTATTCCTTCATTTTTACTGTCAAGCATATTTGTTTTTCTAGTCACATTTGGTTGAGCTTATATAGTGACAAAGGGATCCAGACCACAAAGGTGGGAAGTCATAAGTGAAAATAGTTACATGACGGTGGTTCACCTTAAAATATGTAATTTATTTTCATAAGAGGAATACAATTATGTGTTAAGACATCAGCTTCTTTTTTTAAAAAAATTCTTTATTGTTTAAAGTATTGGTTTTCTTTCTGGGCTTTTGGTTTTTGAGTGGCAAGGAAAAATCTTTCAAGCTTTTAACTATTATAAGTGAATTTTGAGGTTAAATGAGGAATGGTGTGTGGTCACCCCTGAATCCTAAGAACCTAAGAGTTGTGCAGTAGCTAATTATATAAGATGATAGAATTTTAGCAAAATGTAGAGGTGGAAAAATTTAGATGTGTAAGTTTGAGAGCAAAGAACTGGTATAATGCACTCTTTACCAGTTAATATGCTTGCTTATATAGTTGTGACCTGTATCTTTTTATATTGCAGATATTGTGGTTAACAATGCTGGGTGAGTGTTTCCTTTTTTCATTTTTTAGTAAAGTACTGTACAAAGTTTTTTTTTTTTTTTTTACTATATATTCCCTCCCCCCCCTCTAACCAATATAATATAAATTTTTTAGAATTCTGAGGGATCGTTCCTTTAGTAGAATAAGTGATGAAGACTGGGGTAAGTTGTTTTTAATATATGTCTCTGATATATACCTGTCTATTTTGTCTTTTAATATTTGGTAAATTTCTATATTTAAGAAAAGACTTGCTTTTTTTTATCTACTTCTGCTAATGTAAGTAATGCATAAGCTTTTTAACTGAAAATGATGAACACTTGGAAATAACTGATTTTTTTTAAACATTTGAGAAACTTAAAGAAATTTAAATCAGTTGTCAAGTTATTAAAAAGGATTTTGTGCCTTTCGATTTGTTTTTCCCTTGGGAGGTTGTCAGCATTTCCTAGCAGTATTAACTCTTTCTAACAGTCTGCAGCATGCTTCTCTGGCTGTGTGATTCGTATTTCAAGAGCAAGAGCAGAATATGGAAGAGAGCCTGGGGCACTAAAAATGATGGAAATCTTAGGAATGGGTGGGAAAACCTAGATGTAATTTTGAAGCTTCTAATAAGTAAGAAAATTTTCCATTAGGAATGCTACATTGGAAAGATTGAGTTTAGATAATAAACTGATCACAGTTATGAAAAATGTTTTTTCTGTTCGCTCTTCTTTGCCCTTACTTTCATTGGCTATCAGAACTAAAACAAGCAATGGTGGCTGAGACAGTGGCAGGCATGATAACAGAAGTGAATTCTCTCATCGTTTGTAGTGTGCGCCTGAGGAATATGGCCACAAGTTCTGTTGGAAGAAGCAAAATGTCTTTGTGACTTACTAGACTTAAGCAGGTCTTTTGGTTTCCTCTTCCCTTGTAGGAATTGGAGTAAAAAGGAAGCTAAGATAAGATCTGTTGGCAAAGGGGGTTTATGTTGGCACTTCCTTTTCAGCTCTAGTTGGACTGGGATGTTTCCTCCTCTGGTTTCATCCTCAGCTCACCACCCCTAACTTAGTACCTCCCTACCCTTTAAGTTTCTTCTTTTACTCTTACATTATTCTTCTAACATATACATGAAAACATTTGATGAGACCCCAGATTGAAACAAAAATAAATAAGAATGGTTAAAAAATTAATAATTAAGATATCAAATTAAATCTAAATAAATTGAGTTAAAAAATTAAATCTACAGGTTTTTGTTTATCTGAATCATTCTCCAGGTTGTCTATTCATTAGATTAGCATTCTTTCTCACTTCTTCCACCTTCCCTCCTTCTCTCATTTTCTCACCCCTAAACTCCCAAGTCTCTCTAATGCATTTATAAATCCTGGGAAAAATAGGGATATATTGAGCATTTTGTAAACATTTCTTGATGATGAACTGTGTGGTTTGTTATTATGCTTTAACTAATGTTTGTGTCAAGTCCCAACTATATATGTAAAATTAGTGATTTTTTAAAAATATAAAGTCGGCATAAATTAAAGATGGCATTGTACCATACTTACCTGTCACGGGAAATACCATGATCACAAAGGTGTTTTTCCCAGGGGGAGGCTTATCCATTGCACTCTGGATATGCTGACCCCTGCAGTTTCCCCAAATGTGGGAAATTCGACAGTTTGTGGTAGCGGAGGACTGTGTTCTCACTTACCGCTGGGGGAGGGGTGGAAACAGGTATGATTGGTTTTTCCTAATTGGAACAAAGGCAAACTTATTTACTCAGTTGATTTTGAATGCTAGGTTTATAATTAACATCTGTTTATAAGTAAAGCATTGCTTATGTTGATTCTGAGACATGTGTATTGGAATTTTTGACAAAATATATAATAAAAATAATTTCTTGTTTTAGATATAATTCATAAAGTTCATTTGCGCGGCTCATTCCAAGTGACCCGGGCAGCATGGGATCACATGAAGAAGCAGAAATTTGGAAGGTAGAGTTGCATATGACTTTCCAGGGGGATTAGAAATATGTGTGAGTTCTTGTGTAGAGGGAATGATAATTGTTTTGATATTGAGGAAAACATTATCATATATGTGTAGGCTTTTTAGGTATAGTTTTGGCACATATCCTCTCATTAAATTGGTCATTTAGTTATAGATTAGCTGAGCTGGACAGCCTTATGTATTTTTTTTCACCTCCTACTTTTCATTATTAATGATTTTTTTCCTGTGCTGATATTTTAGCCGTGTTAACATGGAGAACTTAACTGTACTTTATTCTGTAGCCAAAATGTCATTTTGTGTATCCAGTGACTAATTCAGGAGAGCTGAGTGGCTGTTTCCTATTAGTTGGTATTTGTGAGAAATTATATAGTCTTTGTAAACTATTTAGGAAATGTATAGAACTCACATAGTTGCATCTTTGTGAGTACTCAGAATGTGGGAGAGCTAGTAAATGTGTAAGATTGGTTGAGATGATACGATGGCATTGTTTTAATATGAGGTATTTAATGTTATCCAGAAAGGGAGAAGGTCAAAGTGGTGAGGACTGAAGAATTAGAACTGCTTTATCTAATATTTCTTTCTTTCTTTTTTTTTTTTTTTTTTTTTTTACATATACTTTATTGATTTTTTACAGAGAGGAAGAGAGTGGGATAGAGATTAGAAACATTGATGAGAGAGAATCATCAATCATCTGCCTCTTGCACACCTCCTACTGGGGATGTGCCCAGAACCAACGCATATGCCTTTGACTGGAATTGAACCTGGGAACTTTCAGTCCGCAGGCCGACACTCTACCTACTGAGCCAAACCGGTTTCGGCTATCTAATATTTCTTACTAAAATTTTACATATGTATTGTCAGTTTATTTTATATCCTAATAAAAAAGTAATATGCAAATTGGCCACGTCACCTCTATACTCACAAGCCACACCCAACAGCCAATCAGAGTGAGTATGCAAATAAACTCAACCAAGATGGCTACAGCCACAGAGAGCAGGAGGGAGGCTTAGGTTTTCCCGGCAACAGAGGAAGCCAAGCTTTCTGCCTGCCCTTGCCAGCCTAAGCCTCTACTCAAGGCTACAAAGTTTCAATTATAGAAGGTAAACAAATCCAAACAGAAATGGCTGCAGCCACGGAGCAAGCAGGAGACTTGGCTCTGCTCCGGGCTAGAAAACTTCAATTATAGAAGATACATAAATCCCAGATACCAGGGTCTCTGCTTGGGTTTCTAGGGGGCATGGCCAGCCTGCAAATCACTATAGGCTCCACACCCCAAGGGAACCCTCACCCTGATCCAGGACACCCTTCAGGGCAAACCAACCGGTCCCCACCCATGCACTAGGTCTCTATTCTAATATCCAGATTGACCATCACTCCAACACACAAGATAGCTGCCCCCATGTGCCTCCATGGGGAGGGTAGTTGAGAGGTACCAGGCCTGCAAGGGAGGGCAGTTGGGGGCAATCAGGTCTGCAGGAGAGGGCAGTTAAGGGTGACCAGGCCTGCAGGGAGGGCAGTTAGGGGTGACCATGCCTGAAAGGGAGGGCAGTTAGGGGCAAATAGGTTGGCAGGGGAGCAGTTAGGCATCAATCAGGCTGGCAGGGATGTGGTTAGGAGGTTATCAGGCTGGCAGGCAGAGATAGTTAGGGGCAATCAGGCAAAGGCTGGTGAGCAATTGGGAGTCAGCAGTCCTGGATTGTGAGAGGGATGTCCGACTGCCCGTTTAGACTCGATCCCACCAGAATCGGGCCTAAACGGGCAGTCGAACATCCCTTGAGGGGTCCCAAATTGGAGAGGGTACAGGCTGGGCTGAGGAACATCCTCCTTCCATGCACAAATTTTGTGCACCAGGCCTCTAGTTTATAAATACTTATTGTTGTTTTCAATAGATAATGAATGAACATTCTTATACTTGAATTTATTTGGTTCTAAACAGGAATCCTTTTTAAAACAGTTAAATCTTCTAGTTGAAGTTTGAGAGATTACTCATTTATTATTTTTAATTTTTATTTATTGATTTTAGAGAATGAGAGCGAAGGAAGGGAGAGAGAGAGAGAGAGGAGAGAGAGAGAGAAACATTGTTTTGCTATTGACTTATTTATGCATTCATTGGTTGTTTCTTATATGTGCCCTGACTGGGACAACCTTAGCATATTAGTATGGTGCTCTAACCAACTGAGCTACTTGTTCAGGGCTGAGATTAATTTTATTATTAATATTATTTTAGATATGTGAATCATGACTGTAAGAATATAATGACAATATAAGAGTTGTTTTTGACAGGTGTAATAGTACTGAAAAGAACAAAAGATGTACAGTTGTAACATTATCAAATCAGAGCAAATATCAAATCAGATATTGGGGGACTGATTTTTCTTTTAGGATAATTATGACTGCATCGGCTTCAGGAATATACGGCAACTTTGGCCAGGCAAATTATAGTGCTGCAAAGCTGGGTCTTCTGGGCCTTGCAAATACTCTTGCAATTGAAGGCCAGAAAAACAACATTCATTGTAATACCATTGCCCCTGTTGCTGGATCACGGCTGACCAAGACTATCTTGCCTGAAGGTAAGTAGCTTTGATTTTTCAGTACTGTTACCCACAAATGTGTGAAGTGAGCTTTGCAAAAGTATTTAATTTTCTGAGTAGTTAAAAAATTATTTTCCTACAGTCTAAAATAGCATTATGTATGATGTGTGTTCATTATAAAAATTTTAGAAAAGCACAAGGGAAAGATTAAAAAATGAGCCATAATTCTACCACGCTGAAATACACCTTCATTCTTTTTCTCTGCATAGGCACATATACATAGATATATTTTTTACAGAATGCAGTAATAACATTCTTACTGTTTCATAATAATAATTTTTAAAAACAATAAACTAATTTATTAAAACTTGTTTTGTGGCCAAATGTGATGTATCCTGGAGAATGTTCCATTTGCATTTGAAAAGACTATATTCTGCAGTATTTGGATAAAAGGTTCTGCAATATCTATTAAGGGCATCTGATATGACGTTTAAGGACAGTGCTTCCTTTTTTGTTTAGTGGTGATGAACTTCTGTAGTTTTAGCTTCTCTGGGAAACTCTCCTCCAATTCTGATTGGTAACCTTGCCCCATAGCACATTCTGGCATGGAAGTTTTTCCTTGTCATCATTTTAAATATATCCCTTCTGGCCTGCAGAGTTTCTACTGAAAAGTCATCTGATAATCTTACCGGGTTTCCCTTGAATGTGACAAGTCAGTTTTTTCTTGCTACCTCTAAAATTCTCAATCTCTCTCTCTCTTTTAACTTTTACCATCTTTATTATAACTGTCTTGGAATAGATTTCTTTAGGTTCATGTTGTTTAGGACTCTGTGCGCTTCCTGAACCTGAACTTGAATGTCTCTCTTCTCCAGAGTAGGGAAGTTTTCAAGGACTCTTTCTTCAAATGAGTTTTCTACTTTTTGCTTTCTCTTGCCCACTTCTGGGATCCCTATAGTGTGAGTGCTAGTATGCTTGATGTTGTTCTAGAGGTCCCTTAAACTATCTTTATTAATTTTTCTTCTTCTTTTTGCTGCTCTGATGGAATGATTTCCACTGTTATGTCTTTCAGATTGCTGATCTGTTCTTCATATCAACCAATCTGCTGTTAATTCCCTCTAGTTTATTTCTTTATTTCACTTACTTTCTTCATCTCTGATGGCTTTTTTCTTATGTGTTCCCCCCCACCCCCCTTTGTTGAAATTCTCCCTGTGTTCTTTCATTTTTCTCCTGAGTACAGTGAGTATCTTTATGACTATTACTTTGAACTTTTTATCAGGTAAATTACTTATGTTTGTTTAATTAGTGTTTCAGTTTTATTTTGTTCTTTTTTTAAGAGTGTATTTCTATATTTCCCAATTTTGTTTGACTTTCTGTATTTATTTCTATGAATTAGACAACACAGCTATTTCTTCCAGTCTTGAAGGAGCAGTCTTACATAGGAGTGCATTGATTGTGTGTGCCAGGTGGTTTTGGCTGGCTGGCTAGAACTGAAATAGGCATAGTACTGGGGAGTCCTAGGATGCGCTCTGTCAATGCCATTTTGGTGGAATGTCTGGAGCTGGAGCAGGTGTGGGTTGGGGTTTTCTAGGTCACTGCCATGCTGGGGCTGCCTTGGTGGGATGGCTGGAACTATAGCTGATATGGGCATGGAGGTCCTGGGGAGCACTGTGTTTTGGATGTCTTGGCCGAATGGCTGGAGCTGGCGTGTGTACTTCTGGTGCTGTCTGGTGGGACAGCTAGATATGGAGGAGGCATGGGATGGGGGTGATATAGGGTATGACTCACCAATTCTACCCTGGCAGGGCAATTGGATTGCATGCAGATTAGGGGGTGGGGGGGTCCTAGGACACTCTTCACTGGAACCACCTTTGGGGGATGGTTGGTGCTGGTATGAGCCAGGGACTCAGGGAAATGGAATGGCCGTGGCAGGCCAGCTAGAGTGCCTGCACTGTGCTCCAACATTTGCTATTAAGGTGGAGGGAGTAACATAAAAATGATGCTCTTTGCTACCTCTGATCCTGAGAGAGTTCCAGCAGTTCTCCACCCATGTGGCAGGCACTCTAAGGTTTGTAAATGGATTTCCTCACATATAGGGCTAGCTGCCCTTTAAACTGCTGTTTTCTCACTGTGCCCCAGGGTGGTCTGCATGCAGGGCCCCTCAGTGAAATTTCTAATGCA